AGAGTGGCCACCAACACACTCAGCCTGCCAGAAAGATGCTTGACCGCTATGGTCAACTGCATGTCCTGGCAGAGAAGATGGATGTGGATGGAGAGGGCACACAGGACATGAGACCTGGTGGCCCCTGTCTCTCCAGATACGCGACAACTGTTGTCGGTAGCCACACTTTGGACTGCAGGATACCCCTAAAGGACTGCAGAGCCAAATGAACAGTCTCATCTCGAGTACACTGATGTGCTCCGACAGTTGTTCGCCAGACCACTCCCCCAAGCGGCATTGGCCATCGAGGTAAGCTCACATTCCTGTCATGAACGCGTCCATGAACAGGATCATAGAGGGGATAGGCTTGGTCAGAGGTACCCCGTGGAAAACGTTCTCCCGAATGGTCCACCAGCGAGCGAACTCCCTGACCGACTGAGTGAGAGTTATCCAGGCCTCCCACTTCCTGGATGACGGAACCCAGTTGGACAGGAGGAACATCTGGAGAGGTCTGATTTGAAGTCTCCCTAGGGGGACCACATCTGCCAGGGCGTTGAGATACCCCAGAAAACTGAGGAACCAACGTACCTGGACCTGCGACCGTTCGATGAAGGACAGAGCTAGAGCCCTGGCCTTCTCGAACTTCTCCACCGGTGGTAGGGCTATGCCCAGAACCGTATCGAAACGATTCCCCAGGAAGACAAAGTCCTGAGATGGGGAAACCTCTGACTTCTCTCTGGAAGGAATGAAGCCGACTCTGAGCAAGAGTTTCAGGACCAGACGAGTGTCCTTCACTAACGATTCCCACACCAAAAGAGGCATGAGGGAGTCGTCGAAATAGATGTGGACGTCTATTCTGCAGGAGTGAAGGAAACACCAGCAGCAACTTGGTGAACACCAAAGGAGCTGTCGTGAGCCCCAAGGGCATCTCTGCCTTGGCAGCATGGTCCCTACTTCCTCCTGGAGCACCCGTGCCCTTTCTGAATCCCCGGGAGGAGGAAAGAAACAAAAACGGCCAGGAGGCGAGGGACGAATCCTGAAGAAGGGGAATATCTAGACCCTCCCTGACCACCGACAAAAGCCCAAGCGTCCTCTGTAATATCCTGCCACTAGGAAAGGAAAGCAGAGAGACGTCCGCCCACAGGGAGTTCCGGATGGGGCAGATCGAGCCCCTGCCAGACCAGAGAATCGTCTGCCCACCCGGAGCCTGAGCCTGCAGGAGAAGGACATGAGCCCGGGAAAGGAGAACCACCGTCCACCCGGCCATACCCTTCGCCTTTCGCGGCCAAGAAGCAGAAATAGTCAGGAACCCTTCTTCTTGCCCCCAGGAGGTTTCTTACCCTTCCTACCCTTCCCCTTGTTGCCGTTGAAGTGAGGTTGGGACTTGGGCTGTGCAGAAAACTGAGCAGCCGAAGACTTCGCCTTCTTCTTAGGAGGCACTGACCCCTGCGAGGCACTGGCCTTCTCAGCCTGAAACCTCTTCACCAGAAGTGCTGAGGCGACCGAGTCCTCCTTCATATCCTTCTGAACCCAAGGAAGAGCTCCCCTGAACAGGGTAGAGCCCTAGAAGGGGGCATTCAACAAGCGGAAACGGTAGGGTTACTGGACTGGGCGGAATTTCAGAACTGAAAACTGCCTAGCCAACACGGCATTGACGAGCAGAGAACCTGCAAGGCTGCCGTGTCCTGTATGTCGGCTGTTCTGTCTCGGATAACCGACACTCAGGCAAATCGGATACCCTGTATAGACAAACTGTCAGGAAGTCTATGTATGACAGAACTTGGATGGAGAAGTGCAACATTATCTCCATCCTGTGGTGCTCTTTGGGATCGAGCACCACCTGGTCCACTGATTTGCCGGGCCAGGCAGCCAGCTGTCTCAACTCCAGCTGTGCTGGTTGAGAGGCCAACTGCCCATCATGTGTGGCATAGTCGGAAGCTGAAGCCTCCGACAATTCACCAACACTGAGCTGCAGACCGACAAACCCGGGAGCACGGGTAGAGAAGGAGTCCTTCTCTAAAACCGGAGCCCGGGCCGTGGCCAGAACCGAAGACATGATATTGCCTTCTGGCAGAGACCGATCTGAGCGAACGGAAGCCCGAGGAGCCACCAGGGAACCCAGAAGGATGGTGGATTCAGGCGCCGACGATGCTGAGGCGGTGGGCAAACCTCCGCCCTGAGAATCCGGGAGATGTTGGCCTGGAGGACCCGCATCCCAGAAAGCACATGCTGAGCCTCGGCTTCAGCAGTCTCAGGGCCATCTTCCCCTTGTGAACCCTCTTGGCCCAGGAGAAAGATGAATGACATCGTCTTCCTCTGCCGAGCCCGCACCCTCGATGTCCATCTCCTCCTCAATAGAGACCGAAGTCCCCTTGGGAGGAACAGGGGCCGCCAGAGGAGCCATCTCCGCAGAGGGGAACTCCTCTTTATGGCATTTGGACGCAGCGCGACCAACAACTGTAGCTGTAGGCTTGGGTCGGAGACCCGAAGCCGACCCCTGGGAACAGGAGACCGACGGGTCCGCGCTGGAGGCGGAAGTCCTTAAGGTCTGGCAAACCTTTATAGGACCGGCCAACAAGGCCCCCGAAGTAGCAGAACATTGGGGGGATTCCGCACTGCTATAACATCTCCTAGAGGAGAGACCAACCCCTATGGGTTCCACGAGTGAAGACCCATGGGGTAAAAACCCAAACCCCTGAGGGAATGGGAACGGTCCAGCAGGCCGGGAGTGACCCCAGAACTGGCCAAGATGGCCTGCCTGAGTCTGGGGCTGGACATCCTGTCCAAAGGACCAGGATGAACCGCCACTCCCACCAGGTGGAAACCCAGACATGTACGGGCTAAGCCCGTAACTGCTGAGTAACTGTTGGTACCCAAAACCATCCGCAGGTTGGCCTGGGCGACCCAGGAATAAGTGCCCGCAGGCACCCCTACTCCCTGAGCCCGGGGGAAAGGGAGACCGGAAACCGGACTCCTGGCCTGAAGCCCCAAACCCTTGGAGGAAAACCCCCTGGGAAACCCTGCACTGGGAAATCTGGATTGGGATGGAAGTCCCAGAGCCAGAAGCCTGTGAGGGTGGGAAAACAGACCCCGCGCTGACACCAGGATTAGTGAACTCAAGTGTCACTAATCCCCGTAGCCACAGACAATCCTGACAAAAAGTCTGTGGCCCCTGAACCTATACCTGAAGGCACAGTTCCGGAGTCAAAGCGGCCCCCACCAACGACGCCACCTGGCGTGCCGAGGTCCCTGAAGGAATCAGAGACCTCGACCGGAAGTCCCTTTCCGACGGTAACACCGCCGCCTATCGAGAGCTACCGGCCAATTCGACCCTTGACTGCGCCGAGTCAGGGTCGGGCTGCCCCCCCCCCCCCCTACTCCAGGACGCACCTGGACAGGGGGAGCCACCCCCTGCTGAAGGGCGGAGCTCGGTTGAACGAGAGCACCCCCAGCAGGAACGCTCTGGTTCAGAACTTCAGGAGGGAGGTCTTAAAAAGCTTACTTCCCTTACCGGAAGAAGAGGACGAATCCCTCTTCCGGCGGAAAGTTAGCTGGAAAGGCATGGGAGCCTAAGCAGCAGACTCCATATGCAAACAAAGTTCACATAGTGAGGTCTGGCTGTAATGTTGGCAAATGGGACAGGTATCATGGGGTTCCCATTATCTATAGAAATAGGAACATCCATGCGCTGACCCCCGACGTAAACCCGGCACCTTTATCCAGCATCGAAACAATAAAAAATTGTAACAATGAAAACAAGGATAAAAAGTTTTCTAACAATAAAAAAACTACGAACGAGATCATAAAACCTACCGTACGCAGCAAGATTGTACTGCAAAAAAAAGAAAACGGTCGTACAAAACGGCCGACAAAGCAGCAAGAAAACAATTTCAACTTCACGAAAATCCGAGTGACGAGACAAGTAGTCACGCACTCGAACACGCGGAGGAAAAACACGGCCGGAAACGAAGTTCTCGAACAATAAAAAAACTACGAACGAGAGCACAAAGCCTACCGTACGCAGCAAGATTGCACTGCATAAATAAAACGGCCGTACAACACGGCCGACAAAGCAGCAAGAAAATAAATTCCAACTTCACACAAATCCGAGCAACGAGACAAGTAGTCACGCACTCGAATACGTGGAGGAAAAAACGGCCGGAAATACGGTCAAAATAAACAAATGACAATACTTAATTTCACAATATAAGTTGGGAGATGGGTTTATAGACTACTAATAGAGTAACAATATACTCAAACGACAATGGCAGTACGAAGAGAAGGAGTAAGAAAAGCACTTAGCTCAGACACCTCCGCACTCGTCGGCAGCCATAAAGGTAAGAGGAAGGGAGATCACTCTGCGTTCCTGCGGTGATGGCTCATGGATCGTAGGGAGGGCGGGATTGTTTTTCTTTTGAATCTTTTGTTGTTGGGATACAAAGATGGGTGTAGGTACTGTATTTGCATACTAAAGTTATGGTAATTATTACTGAAATGAAATCACTATTTGTTACCTTGGCATGTGACCGACACAGACCTTAACATTGTATTTATGTACATGTAAGTAGGAAACCATTAATTAATTGTTTGGTTGTTGTAGATGAACACAGCCGGGTGATACTTCCAGACAGTGAATGGGACCCTCTCTCCTCATACATTAATGCAAACTACATCAGGGTAAGTTGTCCAAGACAGGATTAAGTTCAAGGGGCACTGTCAAGGTCAAGAAGAGCAATTGAATTGTTATATTGACATTCTTGTTTAAATTACCAGATTTAAGAAAATGACAAAATTTATTAAATTAGATTTTAACATTTTTTTCGATCAGTTTTGATTTTCCTCAGTTGCCACCTAAGATTTGTTCAGGGACAAAACAGCTGTATGATGCAGTTTGATTTACTACTTGGCATAGATCTAATGGATCTAATTCTACAAAATGCCATTAACTTGTGTGTCTTTCGTACAAAATATGTCATGGTCCATTGTATGGAGATTATCAGAAATTTTTCTGTGAGGTCGGCAATTTAACTTCATTTTGATGTTATTAAGGTTTTGATCAAGGTCACCAACAAAAGAATGTTATTTAACAGAGCATATTTTTCTGAGGTAATTTTCTGTAATACAACATGATAAAATCTATTTATAGATGTTCGGTGATAATCTCAATGATCTTCAGAAAATAGATTGCAGCATTTCATTTTGAAGTTTTGAAATTTACTTGGTTTCAGTATATTGAATATAGACATGTATTTAAAAAAATTGATTGGTTAGAGGATAGGATAAAAGTTGATTGGTTAGAGGATAGGATAAAAGTTGATTGGTTAGAGGATAGGATAAAAGTTGATTGGTTAGAGGATAGGATAAAAGTTGATTGGTTAGAGGATAGGATAAAAGTTGATTGGTTAGAGGATAAAAATTGATTGGTTAGAGGATAAAAATTGATTGGTTAGAGGATAGGATAAAAGTTGACTGGTTAGAGGATAGGATAAAAGTTGATTGGTTAGAGGATAGGATAAAAGTTGATTGGTTAGAGGATAGGATAAAAGTTGACTGGTTAGAGGATAGGATAAAAGTTGACTGGTTAGAGGATAGGATAAAAGTTGACTGGTTAGAGGATAGGATAAAACCATATTCATTTACAAATATCAGCTTAATTTGGTATTGACATTAATTAATATTCATTTAAATTTGGGGGAATTGGCAGTATTGTTTTAGAATATCAAAATTGAAGGAATTTGCTTGGTTTGGAAACAAGAAATTATATACTATAGATAATGATTTTGTTTTACATATTTAGGTTAGAGGAGACTAAGGCCATGTTAGAATCTGAAATATATTCCCCGGTACATGAATTTTATTTGGTTAAAAAGACTTGACTTGTTCTCGTCTCATCCTGTAAATACCAAGGGAGTCCAATGTTTATAATAGTATCTGTATTGTATCTCCTGATTCATCTTAGCTGACCTATTAAACTTTACAGAACCTCTAGTTATTCTCCTCTGTGACATCTAATTCCACCACTGAACACCAGGCCCAACCTGACATCAATTATTTCCATGTCAATGACAAAAGCATCATTCTGCCTTTCTAAATGATTTAATAATGAAGACATTGTCTAGTTCAGTCAACTTGTAAAAGGGGAAAAACAAAACCAAAGTCTTGAAATTTGAAACCATCTTAAACAGGTATACATTGTGTGGTTTTGAAACATGTCAACAAGCAGATTTTGCTGATATCATCTCACAGATTTGTCTAGTCAATCACCTTCCTTCAGGGAGGTTTAGATGAAAGCAGAATTTGTATGAATTGTTTGGGAAACAGAAATCAAAATGAATATGTATAATTAAGTGTAAACACCTTATGAATAATATACATTACAATTAAAAAATCAAACAAAACAAAATATTAATATATTTTGGTTTTACTTTATATATATGTCCTATTGATGGTGAACCTTTCTGTACATTATTTCTCTTTACTGGGTTTTTCTTAAACCCAGCTGGCTTGCTTGGCATTACATATGTATCTGAAGTGTACAGCTACATTATATAATTAGAAAATTGTATTTAAACCAGTTAAAAAAATATCTTTTATTTTTTATCTTTTGTTAAAATAAATAAACTTTATTCATGTTTTAACAAATATGAAACTAGCTTTAAGCTTTTAGTGTTTATTCTTGTTGGCTCAGCTGAAAACGTGTAAGGTTCTTGCTGTGGAAGGAAACCAAAGTATCTGGGGAAAACCCTCTTGTTCTCTTTTATTAACCCAATGCCATCAGATGGTGGGCTATTAAAATTGCCCTACATCTGTTGTCCATTGTCAGTCCATCCCTCTGCCTGTAAACAAATTTTGTTATCGCTATCTCTTGAGAAGTACTGAACGGATCATTCTCACATTTTACATGTAGGTACCCCTTGGTCCTTAGGTGTGCCTGTTGGAACTGATAAAAAAAAAAAAAAAATGGCTGACAGGTGGCCATTTTGAATTTTTTCAATGAAGTTTGTTATCCCTGTTTCTTGAAAAGTACCAGATGGGTCTCTTTCAAATTTTCGTATGTAGGTGCCCCTTGGTCTCTAGTTGTGCCCATCTATTTTTGGGACTGATCAGGAAAACAAAATGGCTGTCAGGAGTCCGTCTTGAATGTTGACTTTGCAAGTTTGTTGTTTTGAGTCAGAGGAAATATGTTGGCACCAGGTGTCCTGTAATAAGCCCACCCCTGACTTGTGAGTCAGAGGTAACATGTTGTCCCTGATGCTTATTATCAAGTGATAAACCCACCCACCTCTGATTTGTAAGTTAAGAAGAAATGTGATGGCCCCTGGGCTTATTGTAAGATAGAGAGCTGGTTATTAGATTTCTTGAATATGAGATATATGTGGTATTGTCCATGGTCCCAAAGCAAACAGACAGCACACAGAAAATATTCCACTACAATTAAAACCAGGCTTGTACACAATTGGGGAAGTGTTTTGGGTTGACACTTAAAAAGTGGAGATATAGTGACATACAGTGGCATGTATCATAGTAAAGCCACAACTAAACATTTAAAGTTTGCTGTGAAAAAATATGAGTGATGAACCAAAAATATTGGTCTTGTGTTTCAACAGGGATATGAAGGAGAGCCCCATGCATATGTTGCGACCCAGGGCCCAATGTCACACACGATCGTGGATTTCTGGAGAATGGTTTGGGCAGAGAAGGCACCCATCATTGTTATGATCACAAAACTGAAGGAAAAAGGACGGGTAAGTATAGTACAATGTTTCCAGTAATAAATTCACAAGCTTCTGATGAGTTCAGTTCAGATAGACTCTGGAAATTTTATCTTAACATTGACAATATGTTGTGATAGATGTTTGGTAGTTGTAACATTCTGATCTAAAGTTTGGTTTTCTTCTCGGTATTCACAAAAGCTGTTAATAATTGTATGGTAATAGACTGAGATGTAAACAAAGGCTGTATAGAGTTGTGTTTAAAAGTTAATTGATTAGAGTTTCTATTTTATAGCCAAAATGTGAGAACTACTTGCCAGAGGATTACTCGTCAGCTACATTTGGAGACATAGATGTTAAAGTGGATAGAGTGGTGAATCGGCACGGCTACTCTCTCCGACACCTCCTACTCCGAGTAAGACATGCCTCTTTATCTTTTTATGTAAGATTTATGATTCGTGGCTACCATTCTTGCACACCACAAAATAAAACAGACTCTTCCTGCTCCTCCAGCTGCTGCTGCTGATGATGATCCTCCTCCTTGATCTCCTCTCCTTGATCTCTTCTCTTCTTTAATCTTGTCCTAAATCTTTTCCTTCTTGATCTTGTCATTGAACTTTCTCACCATTTACTCTCTTCCTTGATCTTGTCCTCAGTCTCCTCCTCCTTGAACCTAGATCTCCTTTTCCTCAATCTCTTTCTTCTTGTCCTCAGTCTCCTCCTCTTCCTTGAACCTAGATCTCCTTTTACTCGATCTCTTTCTTCTTGTCCTCAGTCTCCTCCTCTTCCTTAAACCTAGATATCCTTTTACTCAATCTCTTTCTTCTTGTCCTCAGTCTCCTCCTCTTCCTTAAACATAGATATCCTTTTCCTCCATCTCTTTCTTCTTGTCCTCAGTCTCCTCCTCTTCCTTAAACCTAGATATCCTTTTCCTCCATCTCTTTCTTCTTGTCCTCAGTCTCCTCCTCTTCCTTAAACCTAGATCTCCTTTTCCTCCATCTCTTTCTTCTTGTCCTCAGTCTCCTCCTCTTCCTTAAACCTAGATCTCCTTTTCCTCCATCTCTTTCTTCTTGTCCTCAGTCTCCTCCTCTTCCTTAAACCTAGATATCCTTTTCCTCCATCTCTTTCTTCTTGTCCTCAGTCTCCTCCTCTTCCTTAAACCTAGATATCCTTTTCCTCCATCTCTTTCTTTTTGTCCTCAGTCTCCTCCTCTTCCTTAAACCTAGATATCCTTTTACTCAATCTCTTTCTTCTTGTCCTCAGTCTCCTCTTCCTTGAACCTAGATCTCCTTTTCCTCAATCTCTTTCTTCTTGTCCTCAGTCTCCTCCTCCTCCTTGAACCTAGATCTCCTTTTCTTCAATCTCTTTCTTCTTGTCCTCAGTCTCCTCCTCTTCCTTAAACCTAGATATCCTTTTCCTCAATTTCTTTCTTCTTGTCCTCAGTCTCCTCCTCTTCCTTAAACCTAGATCTCCTTTTCCTCCATCTCTTTCTTCTTGTCCTCAGTCTCCTCCTCCTCCTTAAACCTAGATCTCTTTTACTCAATCTCTTTCTTCTTGTCCTCAGTCTCCTCCTCTTCCTTAAACCTAGATTGCCTTTTCCTTGATCTCTTCTTTTCTTTAATCTCCTCCTCTTGATATCCTTCTTTCAATCTCCTGCTCTGTTGCTCCTTCTATGTCATAAGCCAGTGTTGTAATTTTGTCCTGTTTTATGAGGTAAGCTATTGTTGCTTTGTTAAAGTTAGCATACTAAGCACTTTATGTTATGATGTGCAGAAATTCAGAACTGTCAAACAAAATAGCAAAACTGACAAACTGCATTTTGCCAAGAACAGTTGGTTACTAGGACTTTTATTACAGTACAGGATGAAAAACTTCTGACCAATTGATTGGATAAAAAATATCTTTACTTACAAAATGAAAACCTACAAAATAAATTCAACAAAATAGTTTGATACATATTAATGATTTGAAATGCATGTTTCCAAAACATTTTAGAACAAAACAGAATGCAATTTTAACCATTAAAGATAAGAGCTCATTTTATTTCCTCCTCTTTACCTAATTTCAGCCTTAAAGTTCGTGATTTGCCTTTGTCAGAAATGTGTCTCTTAAGTGAAAGGTGCTGAAAGATGGCATGAAATTTGAGATATTTGTATTGCTCTGTTTCCTAACTGCATTATAACTGCATTTTTTGGATGCATTTGTAATATTTTTAAATTCAATTGTATTTTTATGTTACGGAATTTTATTCAGAATTATGTGCTGTAAAATCGGTAAACAGTTTGTGGACAAATGAATCCATAAATTAAGATTACCCACAAAAGCAATGAACGAAAACACTGAAAATAACCCCCACAAAAATCTGGAGTAGGAAGAACTTGAGTGTAGCCATGGAACATGCAGTTTAAAATAATAAATACAGTATTATTTTCATAGAAGTGTGCATCTCTTTTATCAGTGTGCTCTTGTTTTTAGGCAGTGCCTGTTTCATATTTTTGATATGGTAAACACCTGTATTTTATATATAACAGAGTAATGGAGAGATACAACATGTCCTCCACTACTGGTACACGGCCTGGCCTGATCACAAGCCTCCAACATCTCCAACAATGCTCCTGGAACTCATAAAGGAGGTGGAACAACGTCGCCATCATCATGATGGTATCCGCACAAGGGGACCAGTTATTGTACACTGCAGGTAAGACAGAACACAAGGGACCAGTCATTGTACACTGTAGGTAAAATCAAACACAAGGGAACCAGTCATTGTACACTGCAGATAAGTCAGAACACAAGGGACCAGTCATTGTACACTGCAGATTAGTCAGAACACAAGGGACCAGTCATTGTACACTGTAGATAAGACAAAACACAAGGGAACCAGTCATTGTACACTGTAGATAAGACAAAACACCACGGGACCAGTCATTGTACACTGCAGTTAGACAGATCACAAGGGACCAGTCATTGTACACTGTAGATAAGAAAAAACACAAGGGACCAGTCATTGTACACTGTAGATAAGACAAAACACAAGGGACCAGTCATTGTACACTGCAGATTAGTCAGAACACAAGGGACCAGTCATTGTACACTGCAGATTAGACAGAATACAAGGGACCGGTCATTGTACATTGTAGGTAAGACAGAACACAAAGGAACCGGTCATTGTACATTGTAGGTTAGACAGAACACAAGGGACCAGTAACTGTACATTGTATGTTAGACAGAACACAAGGGACCAGTAACTGTACATTGTAGGTTAGACAGAACACAAGGGGACCAGTCATTGTACACTGCAGGTCAGACAGAACATAAGGGGACCGTGCAGTCAAACAGAACACTGTAGGTTAGACAGAACATGGAGTCCGGTAATGAGCTAAAGGAAATAGGATATTAAAATGAATATATATTAACATATTATTTATACTGTATCTCTCAATAGCTCTTAGTAAAATCATCACTTATCCTTTGAAAGTTTGTTTTGTTTATGTTAATTTAGAGGATACAGATCCATTGCCAAAAATTGATGTATGATATGTTGATATTAAAATTTTAAAAATATTGTAGTCTGCATGTCTCATTATCTCTTGAGACATAAAAAAGTAGAAAAATAAACAAGCTTAAGTAAAGACATGAGCTTAGAGATCCCCTAGAAAAGGTTACCAAGGTTGGATGTTTAAAGGTTGTGTGTTTATTTCAGTGCTGGTATAGGGAGGACAGGTTGTTTTATTGGTATAAGTATTGGTATACGACAGTTACGAGAGGAACACTCTGTGGATGCTCTGGGTGCTGTATGTACTATGAGGATAGACAGGTGAGTTTTAGTAATAACTGGGTCTCTCTTCCTCACCAAAGGGATAACATTAAAAGCTAAGACCTTATCAAGACTCTCACACCCTCACCAAGGATGTACAGTTCAAAACTATTTCCTTATTTAGCCCCTCATTCTGACCAAAATAACAATCTCAGAGCCTTATGTCCTTACTTAGTTTCTTATCATCACCAAAGGAGCATATTTCAGAGTTATGTCCTTCCTGGGTCCCTCATCCTTACAAAAGGACCATGTTTCAGGGATATGTCCTTCCTGGGTCCCTCATCCCAACCAAAGGAGCATATTTCAGAGTTATGTCTTTCCTGGGTCCCTCATCCCAACCAAAGGAGCATATTTCAGGGCTATGTCCTTCCTGGGTCCCTCATCCCAACCAAAGGAGCATATTTCAGAGTTATGTCCTTCCTGTGTCCTTCATCCAAATCACATCAGAATATTTCAGAGTTATGTCCATCCTAGGTCCCTCAACTTAACCAAAGGAGCATATTTCAGAGTTATGTCCTTCCTTGGTCCCTCATACCAACCAAAGGAGCATATTTCAGGGCTATGTCCTTCCTGGGTCCCTCATCCCAACCAAAGGAGCATATTTCAGGGCTATGTCCTTCCTGGGTCCCTCATATCAACCAAAGGAGCATATTTCAGGGCTATGTCCTTCCTGGGTCCCTCATCCTTACCACAGTAGCATATTTCATGGCTATGTCCTTCAGGTGTCCTTCATCCCAACCAAAGGAGCATATTTCAGGGCTATGTCCTTCCTGGGTCCCTCATCCCAACCAAAGGAGCATATTTCAGGGCTATGTCCTTCCGGTGTCCCTCATCCCAACCAAAGGAGCATATTTCAGGGCTATGTCCTTCCGGTGTCCCTCATCCCAACCAAAGGAGCATATTTCAGGGCTATGTCCTTCAGGTGTCCCTCATCCCAACCAAAGGAACAAGGTTGAAGGGTAATGTCCAGTAAACAATGTGATAATATATCAATTCAATATTTTAGGTATAAATTGAGAAATTAATTCTGTTTGACTGTCATTGTTTAGTTGTGCTTTCTCAATAACAGCGGATTGAAGCTTAATGATCTAAGCAGAGATGAAAACGGGAATTAAAATCAGCAGTTTTGTAGAGAATTTGTGCTGGCTTTCTAGTTCTGATTGTTGATTGTTCTTATAATTTCTCTGGTGTTGTGATTCTTCAGGGGTGGTATGATACAGACACATGAACAGTATGACTTTGTGCATCAAGCTTTATTTGAGTATGAGAAACAGTTAGAAGAACCAATAGGGAACACAGTAGGAGACTGACCCGAACATCCAACTGTAGGGACTGATCATATGTGATAGTCAGTACTGAAATAAACTGACCACCAGGACCCTCTGACCACTACTCAACCCAGAGGACCCAACTTTAGCCTTTTCATCACATATAGCATTCAACTGGAAGTGCTGCAGTACGTTTCTCCCAAAATATCCTAGTACTAAAGTATGAAGCTTTTGGCTGATTCTAATTTGTACAGTACATGTGGAGATTGCATTGGATTTCGAAATGTGAAGATTTCAATTGACTCGGATTAAGAAGTGTTAAGCTTTTTGCTGATGCTGATTATGAAATGTTAATTATTTTTTTCAGATTTAGATTTTTCAGTTTGATGCTTTAGAATAAAAAATTTGAAACATTTTTCTGGATTGGATTATGCAATGTGAGAGAAGACTTTTATTGAATCAGATAATTAAGTGTAAAGCTTTCCACTGAACTGGATTATGAAGCTTGATGCTGATTTGGATTTTGAATTTTGAAGATTTCTGCCAATTAGTTCCATATGAAAAAAAAAAATTTGGAATAAGGGTACAAAAAGAGAGAGAAAAAAAAGCAAAATATAATAATTCCCATGAATTGGCAGAAAGCTTCAAAATGAAATGTTAGTGAAATGTGATGTAAAAACAAAATGACATGTATTTAAGGAGAATATTTTTACAACTGTTGTATTTATCCTGTTGTTAACGTTTAGTGCTCAGACTACTGTGCTGCTTGATGTCATGGTGTATTTGATTTTTCCGAAAGTTTCAGAGCTAAAGTTTGTAAAGTAATTCATCACCAACCTGAAAATCACAATTGATGTAGTCACTATAGTTATATAGATATTGGTGACCTTCCATGATCTCTGATTTTGTCCGGTAACTATTTATTTAGAACTTCTGAGAATTCATATACGGCGAAATTAATTCTGACCACCGCGGTTTTGCTGTTTACTGAAAGCAATGTGGTACATCAACTTGATAATGTGTTGTTCATGTGAATACAGTAATGTCAGGTTTAGGTCAGGAAAAAGGATACCGGTTTGAAGAGTAGAAATGCACCTTACTTCATTATAACATGCCAAGTGAAAGATTCCTTCTGGCCTGCAGCAAATTGGCATGTGAGAACCATAAACTTTTGGAAGTCAAATCTACTGTCGCTGAAATGTACATACGACTGTAAAAACCTGTAAAGACATGCATATTATAAGAGCACTAGTAGATGTCAGGGAACGTTTGAAATATTTCATCATGCATGTTTTATGATATTTTAACAGCATTTAGTAACACAATATATGGGGTTTACTGTTTTACTAGTTTTTCAAAATGTCAAATCACAAATTAAAGACAATGATTTCATGAATTTCAGTTAGTGATATGTGTTTAAAATTCACCTTAATTGATTAACGGATATGGAATATGATTTAATGTATGTCTGTAGAATCTGTGATTATTTGACAAATAATAGAAAATGCAAACATGAAGACAACTATTAAACAAACAAGTGCTCTATATTAGAAAGCTTTTTAAACTTTGATGGTCTTTTCTATTATTTTATGCACTACTAAATATCATAAATCAATTCTTGGTATCATTTGATATTAAGTAATATCATAATTGATAAGTGCTATATCACAAATTTGATATCGTGATATTTTTGATATCGCAAACTTAACTTTATGATATCACTTATTTGGACAAGTGATTTATCCCTAAATGGAAGAAAATCCTGTTATCAAAATCTTGTGTCAGTGATATCACTTATAGGGTGATATTACTGAAATTGAACATTGAAATGGTGTATGCATTACATTATGAAATGATTAATCAAATTCAGTGCCCCATTGAAACAACAAAAATTTTGATAATACTCTAGTTCATTTTTTAATGGAATCATTCCCATTCAATACAATCATTTCACCCTGTCACTTCTAGATCAGAAAGTGTTGGAAAAGTGAGACTGTAAGGAGCAGTATTTACTATTATTTAATTTGAATCAGTGTTATCTTATTGTGCTGATGGTCATGGTCATTATCATTGGTTTTTAATGTTATCATGTTGTTATTAGGCTTACAAACAAATGTTGTTGATATATGAATGAATGTAAAAGGTCTGGAGTTATTGTACGAGCCGTAAAATCTTAAGCAAAAAAGCACTTCGTTTCTGGTGCAATTTTATTACAATATTGTTTCTTGCAATATCATTTTTAGAAAAATAGCCATATATACTTAAAAATTGTTGATGAGATCTCTGAATTTCAGTAGTTTTTGTATGGACTCTGAGAATGGATGCCTTATTTAATTTGCCATGTATAGATATTACATCATCAAAATTTGATAAAGATGAATCATCACACATATGTTTACATTACAATATTTACCATAAACAAAAGTAAAAATCTTTAAGATTCTTTGAAAGAAAATAAAATGTATTCTTTGTAAGAGATAAAATTGAAATATCATTTCTGGTTTTAAAGTGATTAGATGAAGAAAATGAATACTTATTCAATATAAATGTATACAACATGTGGTTATCTAAACACATTAAACTACTATTAAGGAAATTCAAGTCTAAAAAATGTTTTTTCTGAATGTAATTATTAGCCAGTTCAGCTCACTTTTTTATTGTTCAGTGAAGAATATTGTCTGAGGATTCTGAAACCTTTCATGGAGAAAAAACTAACATGTAGATATCCTGTCTAGAGGCACAACAATAATTGAATGTTGCTGGCGAGTTCTGATGGAATTATGAAGTTTGTTTTTACCACCGAAATACCATGTTTGGTATTTCAAATCCTGTTAATATAACAGTATGTCATGTGATTTACTTTGTCACATGTCAATCATGTGACCACATTTTTTGAAATTTTTCATGTGATATGTAATTTTTGTATGACCATTTGTATTCTGTATCATGTGAAGTTTTGTTTCCAGTGTACTTAAAGGCATTGTTATGTTTTATTTATCGTTTTTCCCTCCTGAAATAACATCCAGGTATAAAATATTTTACCATCTGTTTTTTGTATATATAAATGTGATTTATTTTTCTCATGCAGCTATTTGATTTATTTTGTTTTTCCCATTTTTAATGAAGGCTTGTTTATACCCAAGAATCAAATACAAGATAATTAAAGAAAACTATACATATACTTGATTAAGTTTGTTCAGTATTTGTTTATTTAAACTAAAAAACTTTTTTTTTTATCTTTGGTTTTATAGATTGTAAAAGATTTTAACTTTTCTTAGGATTGACAAAATCTCAGATACTCTTGTGATTCTCAGTTTATAACAGTATTGAACTTCACGCAACGGTTACTGTTTCATTTCACACAAAGCAGTGTTACAAAGTAATACTATGTTAAAGCAAATTATCATTAACACTTTGGATAGAAACCTCTCATACTGGTCACCTGAATTAAAGAAAATTTAACAATTGTTAAATGAAATTTATAAAGATGATCAAATTATTGTAGAATTTGCAGTCCAGTGGATAGATAATTATACAAGGTTTGATATACAATGTATCAGCACAAATGACGGAATGCTCAATAGCCAGATCAGACAGATTTTGCTTTAACCTATCGTCTTTGTTTATTTTAAAGATTTTCCGAAAACACTGAAAATTATGACTTTTTGCTGTTTTAGAGCAGGTTGTTATCCATATGACTTTATTTTGTTGTTCTTAACTGGTAGAATTTATATATTGTGTACATTTCAAGAATCAGATGTCGCTCAAGATATCACATACCAGTGTTTTCTAGTCTCTGCCATTTATAGGGGGAGGGGTTGCATAGTGTTTATTGTCTTACTTCATCATCTACAATGGATGAGATGTGTTATGAGGTTCCAGAGTAGGTCAAAGTGTCACAGTTACTATTTATAGGATTTTGTCAAATTGGGCCTTCATGCCTATAAAAAATAACTCGCTGAATGAGTAGTCGCATTCTTTAAATGCAGCAGGTTGGTGTAATATGAATAAAATATGAAATTACTTAAAAATCAATTTGATTTTAAACTGCAAAATATTTCATCACTGAAAAAAGTGACCATACCTTAAGTGTTCTAGTAAAATCTTACTGTCAAATAAAAACAGTTATACAATTATTTTTCCTTTGAAGGAGTGAAGTGGGGGAGAGAGAGAATAAGTGCAATACATTGTACAGTGAAATTCTAGTCTTTTTTTCCCTTCACTAGCATTATATTCATCAGCATATCCCATTGACAAATTTAACTAGTCCCAAAAGAAAACTGCATTTTGTATGTTGCCGATAAGTACTCTCTTTAACCTAATCATTTGAAAGTTTTTTTTCTTGTCCAATTTGAAATTTTGGTTAAAATTTATTTTTATGATTTATTTGATTCATCATCCATAATTACATAAATGATATTTCAATTTTTTTTAATGAAAAAAAAAAAATTTGAATGATGCAATTATGCCACTTTCAACAGAGAACATTTTGCCTAACATTTGAAGGGCTTCTACAGCATCTTTCCTCAAATAAGCCCCCTCCCATACTATAAATGTTTAGAATTAAATTTTAGGGAGGGCTTATTTGCAAACTACTTTCAGCATATTATTTTGAAATTGATGATTCTGCAAAAATGGAGAAGGGTGTTTACTGGTGGCAAATGCTTAACTGTAGTAAATATATTTTTCCAATTACATTTGCCTTAGTAAACATTTTGGGATTTAAAATTGTTTTTTTTTTATGCTATAGTGCTTGTTATCATCATAACCTGACCTGAGGTATCATTTTTCACACGATTGTTGTTTTGACTCGTTGTTGTTTTAAACAGTAAACCTGAAATTTTAAGATGATTTCGCTATGCGTAAATTAACTTGTGCCTGTAATTAACAGCAAAAATAGGATATCACATTGTATCCACACTACTTGTATTTACTATTGATTATTTCATATATTGTAACAAAATTTTAAAAGTTTCCTTTTTTTTTTACAGTTAAATTTACACAAGGTAAAGCCAGTGACTTAGTTTTTTTAAGCTTAAGTTAAAGAGTTCAATTTAGATTTAAGGCTAATAGCTTAAATATGATGAAAGGATCAGGTTTTCCAACATTATCTCCATTTACTGTCATTCAGAAGCATCAAAGGTTCATTAGTTAAATTGACTGAACGCTTTCATGAAAAATATTGATTAGTTTCTGGTGATCTTTCTGAAATTTTCTTATACTCAATTACAATGCCACGATAACCTTGATCATCAAATTTATTTTAACAGAGCAGTACGTATACAGACAAATTAAACTGATGTTGTAAATTAGTATTTTTCTTGAAGATTCTAATGAAAATGAAAACACCCTTTTGGTTCAGGTTTTGTTACAAGATTTTTGTTTCTGAATTTAGTTTTACCTAAAGAAGTAAATCTGTGGATACATGAACATATACATCGGCATCTCCCACATGTCGACCAAAGTCATTGTAACTATGGTGATTCCAAACACATCTATAATATAATCTCTCTCCCAGAAACGTCAGGTGATGTGTCCCTCATATTAATCCCCAGCCATGGTAACTATGGCGATACAGGGCACATCTCTAACATACAAAATACATCTACTGTAAAATCATCTATTTTCATGGAGCTAAATTTTTGTGGTTTTTCAAAAAGGAACTATTTTGTGGACACCTTATATTGATAAAGATAGCTCAATTAATCCACTTGTTTTTGTTTAACAGATCATGAACATGAATTTGTGGTTAAAGAGTTTCAAGGAAATCAATGAAAATATTTCCCCCATGAAAATGATCGATTATACGGTATAATATACATTTTCTCCCAGCCATATCGACATGTCCCTCATATTGACCCCCCTGCCTTGGCAACTAAGCTGATATAGAATACATCTATAATATACACTTATCCATTTATCTCCCAGCTATGTCTAGTGACGAGTACTTCATGTTGACCCCAAGCCATGGTTACTGTGGTGATAGGGTCAAGCCTCATTGATAGAATCTCAATCGTTATTACTTAAGTTTTAATCCATTTAGATGTTGTTTTTGTTTTGTTGATATTTTGAGCTCATGTACAATAAAAAAAACATAAAATACCCGGAAAGGCGTTCCATTTTTTTTCTTTGTTTTTTGTAGTTAGGATATTCTATATAAGTTTCAAAATACAGAAATCACCAATATATAACTTTATTGATATCTCACAATAACTGTGGCATCTGTTAGTTCGTCCATCATAATCATTTACCTTTCCATTAAAATTCTATGAGGCCAGAACGACTGCATTGATTTTGACCAAATCTGAGAGCCAAGGAGTGATTTGTAAACATTGGTTGTGGCTGTTTCTAACACTTCGTGTTAAGGAATCTGAATTTCATGGTATATGACTTTAAGACCCCAAAAAGCTGGACATGGTCTGATCCCAGTACTATACAATGAAGAAGCATTCATTTTCAGCCGTAGTAAACCATTTGCTAGAATGGATCAGGAGTCTTTACAATTTCAGTTGTTTTGTGTTTCCTAGGTCGCTGTGCCCAGTGGTTGGGGCAAACTCATTGGCCAGTCATGTAACATAAATGTGTTTGCCTTTCACATATCAATATATTCGGCAGGGAGGTGATCACCAGTGTAATACACTCATTATATGTTAAAATCAGAAGAAAACCATACACAATCAATAATATAATATATATGTAACAGAGGTAATTAATCATTTCAGTACATTGCCTAGGATTTGAACTCGGTACCTCAGGTTTACTAGTCTTGTGCTCAACTGATGGAGTTAAAGATATGTTCTATCTGGAACTTGTTCTCTTAATTTCTAGGGGATTACAAACATGCTTGCCAGGTATATGGCTCAGTATTATTCATAGGAACCAGTGAAACAGAGTTCATTATTAATTTCAATGCCTCCACTAGACTTCCAACCAAGGACATCTGACTTACTAGTCTTGCACTCAACCTCGACACTCGAACTAAGGAGAATATACCTCTAGGGTCCATTCCAACAAGTGTTTACCAGGAATGTATATTCAGCAAGCCCAAATTGAAAAATTGCTCAATTTTGTTGTAATTCATATGTGTTGTCAATACTTAATCTCTTAAATACCTTCATTTCTTCTGATGGTGTCACAGTGCAGATATCATTGTCAAAAGTTCAGGTGCAATTTACATGATCACATCTATAGTCTTCTTTATATCAAACAGTATGTAATCAAATTAACTACCAACATTTTAGGACTCCAACATTGATGTAGATTAACACTTAATGTTTTGAATTTTAAAATCTGTTCCTTTCCAGTAAAAACAATCTACAATAAAATACAAAAACAAAACGAGAAGAATTTTTAACAAAGTCAATTTTTTTGTTTATGATTTATTTTTAGATGATTCTACAAAAATGTAAAATCACTATGATATCTTAAAGATTTTTTTCCACTTTTGTGAATTTTTCTCCAAAAAAAGCATTTTTTGTCATGCATGAAATTGAACGAAAACCTACATGTAGTAAAATTACCATTAATACTGAAACTACTTTTAATACACCTTTACAGATTGTCCTTCAATAAGCCGGCACACATCTGTTGTTGTTCAGTAGACTGATTCTGTGATAAGCCCATCCATTAAATTGAGGCAGACCTAATGGACTAGTTAGTTATTTAAATACCAGGTGAGTGTTCAATTCAGCATTATGAAACGTCACTAACTTCGCGAAAGTCTTTACTGTCTTTAGATGTCAAGTGAAGGGCAGCATAATGATGAACTTCGAGCAAACATCAGGGGTTCGGTGATAATGTCCAGTTCAACTGTCTCAGAAATCAAGTTTGTTCTTAGATCCAGTGGTGCCACAGGACAATACACCAGGACGGAGATTTGGTATTGCATCTTCTTGTGGTCGACTTGCTGTGTCTGATAACTCTGGAGGCAAGTGTAGTTTCTGCAAAGAAAACAAAATCTCACCATGATCTCTACTACTTTATTTACAGTCTGAAAGAAGATGAAGAATCTGAAAGGTCTTTTACAGGCACTTCAATTTTGATATAATCTTCACTGTTAAGATCACATACTTTCAATGTCATGTCAAAGTTAAAGCATTGTGAAAACACGTATGTTGTTGGGGGCTCATATTTTGTGGTTTTCAAAAGAGCACCATTTCATTAACACTTTACTTTGTGGATAAACAGTAATCACAAAATTCACTTACACAAAAAAATGATGTTTACTTTCAACTATTGATCATTTTTGTAGATTAAGATATCCCATGAAATCTATGCACATCAAACCACCATGAAAATGAATGATTTTACAGTCTATGAAGTTGTTTTCAGTAAAAACTTGACATTAAAACCATGACGAAATATCCTTTTAACTACATACAGCTTCATGAATAAGCCACATTTTCACCATAATTCTTATAATCTAGCAAACTTTAAAGTTTCCAAAATTTATTTTACAGCATTTAAGGAAAATGTTTTTCACATTGACTTTTTTTCCATAACTTTTTCCTTGCCTTTGGAAAAACCTAGGAGGGAATTCCTAAAGGAACATTATTTGTGAAAATGAGGCTAGAGGGCAATGCAGCATTAAGTATATATAATGTTATTCAAAAATAATATGCCAACCCCTATTTAATGGTATTGATGGCGTTACTAAACAAATACTGTTCTATTGGCCACAAATGGGAACAAACCATACACCTACATTAAAACAGAGAACCATAATATGATGCCCCCAATGGACTTGTGGATAAGGATCAATACCATACAATATCTGAGTTTACAATCAGAAAACTTTTTTGCTGAAAATTTCACAGATTGTGGTAAAGAATGTGAATAAGAAACAGAAACTGAGAAGGCGGTAGCAGCAGGGAATGGCTTCCTCACCTCTATAGTAAATTTTTTCCTTCTTAATTTGAAGGCGAAGTCCATAGTGTCTGGCATATGGCTAGTTAGAGTATTGAGTCTTGGCAGTTTGTGGATGTGGAACAAACCTGAAAAGGGAAGAGAAATCTCATTATCTGAGGAGTGTCTAAACAGTACAACTGACATTATTGCTGTATAATACAGTTATAATGACATGTTACAGCAACCAAAATTATCAGGGTGTGAGGTCACGCAGGTCAATAGTGCATGCGATACGCCTCAACAAAATTGCCGTCCTGAAATACATAATGGTCTGGAATCAATGTCCAGACGATATTCTTCTTTTTTTTTTTTGATCTGTCAGAATTTTTTTTCGTCCTCATATAAGCCACATCAGTATAAACCACATGCCTGTCCTCCTAGGAAAACAGCTGCCGCTTATAACCCGGAAAATATTGGAATATTATTATAGGTAGAGAGTCTGAACAGTATACAACTGATATGATCGCTGTATAATACTAAATTTTTTTCATGCAATGGCAATAGGTTAAATGCTAGTTAAAAGTTTAATTACTTTGATATGATATCTGTATATATGAATCTAAACAAGTTTTCAATTCAAATGAGATTTTATGAAATTAGTAGTTTCAAAACTTGAAATCTATAGGAAATAGTTTAACTTATGTGTCATCAAAACTGTTACAACATCAAATGTAATCAAATCAGCATCAAATACAGATTTAATAAACACTTGGAAAATCAAAACTTTAAGTTTAATTATAAATTTGATATAAGCCTGTGATGTTATCCAACAGCACAAATTGAAAACTATTTAGAAGTTCAATTTATTATCAATCAAGTATGTTGTAGTGGATTTCTTATGATCCTGTACTGGAACTAAACTTAACTTTTTACTTTTGTTAGCTTTGACGAGAAAACTTAATAAGTTTGAAATGAGTTTTATAAAATCTCATATAAAATGAAAACAAATTTGAGATACATGTACTTTTATCAGACAAGTTACAATTGACAAATTTTAAATTAAAAATGTAGAGGAAAAAATCAAACAGAGGAAGCTATTTTGTTGTGACATTTCTGATCAATGAAGCAACATCGTTGTCCATATTAGGTCATACAATTACATACTGTAAAATATTACACAGGCAAATCCACAGAATAGCAGACGGATTTTGTGATGAAATACTGTTTGTAAAGAAAAACTTTCATCAATTTTAGTTTTGAAGAAATATTTGCCTATCACTTGTTAATATTTTTCCTTGAAAAGTCTTTAAGATCCTGTTAGTTTTTTTTTTAAATCAAGCAATGAAAAAGAATCACAGTATGACAAAAGATGTAAAGAAAAAAATAGGTGACAGGAACTAACCAAACTGAATGGAATAAAAACAATTCTGCTCATTGAGTTTTTATAATCAAACAGGTATGTTGATGACACTCATATGACAGGTTTTTCAAAAAGAAAGAAAAAAATTACAGGGTATATCAAACACAGTTATTTTATAATAACCTGTTACTTCTAGAAGGAAGATAGAGAAAAAATGAACAAATTGGAACTCTTCTTTAGTGGAGGTTCAAAACACTCCAAGGACTCTTTATTCAGTTACAGGTTCAGGGTGGAATACAACCTCAACATTTCAACCAGCTTTCAAATAATACAAACCATGATATTCCTTGTAAGCTGGGTTCTTTTCTTTGTCAGATCCAGCAAAACTTTCCAAGTGAACAACAGTATCGCATAATCTCTCCAGACGACTCACGAATGCAGCACTCTTAAAGGAAGAAAACATGAATTCATGAAATAAATAAAGCATTGAGAAGAAACACTGTTATTCTTCCAGTTTACAGCTGTCTTTAGACTGTCCTCACAGGCACTTTGTGGCACTTATTGTTTATCATAAGACCTCTTCTATTTCATTTGGGTTTAGTTTACTTTATTATTGCTTTACGTTTTTTCACAGCTACAGTCATTCAATGATGTGCCAGGTTTGAGTGGTCGAGAAAAGTGGAAATTTCTGGAGGAAAACCACCGACCTGCAGCCAATACCTGGTGACTATCTTGTAGGCCATAAACCCACCGCCCAGAGTTGAAATGCTTGCAATAAGGATGGTAAGAAACCTTAACCACTCAGCTCCGATGGTCATCCCACAGAGCCTGCACAGCCCCCACAGGACTTCTATTCAGTGCATACAACAGAGTTATGTTTTTGTGTATGATATTGTTGGTATGCTTGATTTATTAGAATTAACCTGTGAACAGCCAAGGTCATGTGGCATTTCCTTAGAGTAGCTGGTGGCTTCACTATACACTGCACTACCAGATTGTTTGAGGTCTGAATCATTGATTTCCATCGGCATTAAGGATCGGTTTACGTTTGTGTTTGTCTCTGTTTGCTTTTTGTACTGTATCCAGAATATCGGAATCAATATACATGTGCAAGATCAAATAAATTCTGTACCAGATACCGGCATTTACATCTGTTTGTGATAAGGACTAATTTATATTTGCATTTGTCACTGTTTGCATTTCGTAATGTATCCAGAACATCAAAATCAGTAAGAACAACTACTTACTGAACCAGATGCCATTGGTTGTCCAAATTTATATATTGCGCACATGAAGAACTAAGATTGAATTTTTGTCTAGATGAATTACCACACAAATCTTCACACTGGAAAAGGAAAGCCTCAGTTATGACAGAATTACTTGTAAACAAATGAGAAAATTAACAAGAATAATCAAGTGATACACATTATTGTGCATTTAAAAACACATCTTTTCTGTATATGTAGACATCATTTTACAAACATTCAAAAACACAGTTCATGATGTTATTCCAAAGAAACAAAAAATCACATGACATCAACTAAATTGGGTCAGTATTTCACCATCTGACATGAATCAAAGTGGGTCAGTATTTCACCATCTGACATGAACTAAATTGGGTCGGTATTTCACCATCTGACATCAACTAAATTGGGTCGGTATTTCACCATCTGACATGAATCAAAGTGGGTCAGTATTTCACCATCTGACATGAACTAAATTGGGTCGTATTTCACCATCTGACATGAACTAAAGTGGGTCAGTATTTCACCATCTGACATGAACTAAATTGGGTCAGTATTTCACCATCTGACATGAACTAAAGTGGGTCAGTATTTCACCATCTGACATGAATCAAAGTGGGTCAGTATTTCACCATCTGACATCAACTAAATTGGGTCAGTATTTCACCATCTGACATGAACTAAAGTGGGTCGGTATTTCACCATCTGACATCAACTAAATTGGGTCGGTATTTCACCATCTGACATGAACTAAAATGGGTCAGTATTTCACCATCTGACATGAACTAAAGTGGGTCAGTATTTCACCATCTGACATGAATCAAAGTGGGTCAGTATTTCACCATCTGACATGAACTAAATTGGGTCAGTATTTCACCATCTGACATGAACTAAAGTGGGTCGGTATTTCACCATCTGACATGAACTAAATTGGGTCGGTATTTCACCATCTGACATGAATCAAAGTGGGTCAGTATTTCACCATCTGACATGAACTAAAGTGGGTCAGTATTTCACCATCTGACATGAACTAAAGTGGGTCAGTATTTCACCATCGGACATCAACTAAAGTGGGTCAGTATTTCACCATCGGACATCAACTAAAGTGGGTCAGTATTTCACCATCGGACATGAACTAAAATTAGTATTTCTCCACCTTACTTGAACAAAGGTGGGTTGGTATTGCAAGTTTGTGACTATGCTATATATTCAAACTGACAGCTATAATTCTCCAACTTGTGTCAAATGTGCAGAATCAGTGACATTAAAATTTCACTACCTACCTGGAACAGGTGTGTGGGTATGGTGATCATACACACAGAGAATGCTGTCCTGAGAATTGATCTTAAAGCCAAAAGGAAGCGAGGCAGAGAATAATCAAAATCTTCATGGTTGTCACAAAAGCCACCACTTTCTCCCCACTGCGGTGATCCAAGAGAATGAATACCTACAGACAGAAAAATTAATGTAACAGCTGTCAATATTTATTTATCAGGGATCGAACCCAGAACCTCTGGCCTACTAGACTTGTGCTCAGTTGTTTGACTATGTGAGGTCTTTCCAGCTGAGCAGTACATTGATATTAGTATTTACCAGAGTTACATACTATACATCCAGTAAAAACTTCATCCTTAAATTTTCCTGTGAAAGCAACGATAACTATTATTCCTCAGTCCCTACATGGGCACCAATGTAACAGAGCTTATTACTATCGCTGTCTCCACTAGGGATTGAACTTGATACTTCAGGTTTATTGGTTTTATGCTCAACAAATCAAGCTAAAGTGCAGTTCTCTCTAGCCTAGCCATGTATTGTAGTACTAGGGTTACATGAACAAAAGGCCAAATAGGCCTGTATTTCTTGAGAGTTTACATTTACAGTTTGAAAAAAAATCTCATACCTGTGATACTAGGACTGTTAAACTCATTGAAACAAAGCTGATAGCAAACCAGCATTAAAAGCTTGAAAGTTTTGACTCCTACAATCTTTAAAGTGGGTCAAGGTCAGTCATATGATAAAACATAACAGGGGATTTAGTTTGTGTGAGGGGGAATAACTATACATCCTTGCATATAGCAGACCAGTCAAAATCAAAGAAGGATATGCTAAATTGACATTCATCCTAAGTTATAATTAATGACATAATTATTGTTCCCTACACACTCTAATGGCAAATTCCATCAAAATTTAAACGTTAAAACGTTACAACTCAAAAATTGTAAAGATAATTGGCAGTTAATGACCTTTGATCCAATTGAACAAGTAACAGTGACCTAATTTTTGCATGTTCTTTAAGTGATGATATCTTTCATGAAGAGAAACTAGGAAAATCAGAAACAGAACCCATGAACATTAATGTATCTCTTCTCCGTGTCAACAAAGGACATCAGATGATAATTACCAATGCGTAGAATATTCCTTTTCTCTTGAGCTTGAGCAGTAGAAAAACCTCCACTGTCAATTTTCTCCTTAATGGTTTTCAGTAAATATCTATATCTTGGGTTCATTACATTGTTTGAATCACTGAAAAGACACAAATAAAACATACATGTTAGTTTTGCACATACATGTACTACATTTACTTCTAATAAGCTGGTAGTATTAACAAGGGAAGTGACTTCTTACCAATATTCAGTAATAAGCCCATGTCTGGTTATGAGACCATTCATATTTAACACATAAGCAGAGGTTTGGAAAAATATTTTAAACCACTAGGCATAGGACTTGTGGACTGAAAAATTCACTCCTATGGATTAGAAATTTACTCATCCAAATTCAGCCATGAAATGGCAACTTAATCAGCGGGGATGTGACATGTGATTTTTTTCTATTTTTAATGGAAGTTTTAGTGAAAAAACTAGGCAGTGATGGCTGCTATGCATCAGACATTGTGCACAACTTAGGCCTAGCCGTAGTGTTTGTTTATATCCTACTGGCTAGGTGATGCTAAATACAAACTGGTACATGTTGGTACTGCCCGAGAGCATCTGACATCAGTATGACCGCGGGAAAATAACTAAGTATATTTGACGTCATGGGAGTTCCAGTGTAATCAAAAAAGTTAGAGTGCAGACTGGAATATTTTGTTTTCGAAGTACCGTAAACACATATCTTTGTTTTAAACTTTCTTTACATTTTTATTGAAATCTGCCTTTCGTAAATTTAAGTTGTAACATTACTATCATTGGAAGAAAAGTGCTCGTCCGATGGACAACTGACCAAGATAAATCTGGTTGTCCGAGACAATTTTCACTTGTCCATGACGAGCGGACAAGTGCTTTTCCGTACCCCTGACAAGAGTTATCATAAAAGCACAGACTCCTGAGGTCGGCTTTTAACAAGGCCACAACAAACATTTGTTTGTAATCATAGCAATATATATAGGTAGTTATAGGATTATTGGGATTGTCTCAAAATAACTTGGGGGTGTGTCATATAGTTGATTTTACAGTATTTTAACTCATTTAGCAAATTCATTAACAAATTCAAATTGTTAAAGATAGTCAAGAGAGCCATAAGTATGAAATTTACACACTCACCATTTCTCCAGGTCAACTTGACCGATACATGTACGGTTGCAGCTACTGACCAGGTCGGGATCCATTACTTTGGTCAGGTCATAATAGTGACCAAATTTAATAGTAGATGGATTGGACTGAAAAAAGTGAATGGCAGTTTTGATATTGAAGGATTAGTGCTCAAATCTGTCTCATTACTTCAGTATTATCATATTTATCCAATAATAAGCCCACATCTGATAATAAGCTCATCCATATATATTACAGTTTTAGCAGAAATGACAAGACATAATATTAATATTGTCCTGTAATAAGTCCAATTCCAAAGTTTGAAATTTGTGTTAGCCCCTTGTGCTGGATAATCATGACAAACTCACTAGTGAGTGCAGGTGATAAAACATTTTTTCATACCATAACCTTTATTATTTGTTTGATTTTTATATTTCAGTCAACACGTTTTGATACATTAATTTTATCAAAGTTACAGTATCTTATCTCAATACACTATAGTGAAAAGGTAGTTAAAACCTTTCCTCAGAAAGTTACCTGAAATTTTGGCAGGTGTTGATATCGCCAAGCTATTGACATTTTTTCTGACCCATCTTCCTCTGGTGTGGTCATCACAGATCCTGGATCATCAATAATAGGGGCAGGCAACTCCTGCAATCAAAACATAGGGAGAGGCAACTTCTATATTCAAACATTCAAATCATTACAAAGGGACTGGGAATTCCAAACATTCAAATCATTAAAAAAATATATATATAGCCAAGACTAAATTAAATTGATATTTCTTGAAAAGATTACTTTGCATATTTGTTGGGTGCATCATCTCCTGAACAATTAGGGTCATTCTGAAGGCAAGGATTTCACATAAAAGGTGGTGACTATCTCACTGAACAAAATGCAGGAGGCTGCACTAAAAGGTATCTGTATTTTTCTATGGATGGGTTTCAAAATACACACAATGAAGGCCATGAACAGACAATTTGAAAGCTGTATAAGTGGATCCTAAATTGAGCAGCTAATTATTATTTGATGAAGATATTTATAACGACTTTATTAATGAACAATTTCTTCCTCCACAAGTATTACTTATAAATTTTGATTCATCACGCATCTTTCTCAAAGGATAAAATTTTCGTAAAGACCTTTTAAGAAACCGATTGAAAATGTATGAATAACATGATGTGTATAAACACACATTTAAGATTACTTTATACATATACAATGTACATAGTTTCTATATTCTTACCTGGGTGATTTGGTCTGGACACTGGTCAGCACTAGACAGCAGTAGAGAGTGACCAGTCATCACTGCCTCAGCACAAAAGTACTTTAACAGAAGTCTTCCATAGTTCCCAAAATTATCCTCCTCTGAAATAAGGTTATTGGACCACTTTTTGATACAAGCATGTGATCAAATTTGTTTCTAAATCATTTTTGGGGCTGAAATTTGGCCAAGAGCACCAGCACACATAACCTCTGACCCAAAGTAAGGCGTAGGGCTTTTTACAGGAAAATGAAGTAGAATTTGTAAGTCATTCCACATGGGTGAGCTTATTACCAAGCATGGGTTATTGTCAGATACATACAGTCCATCTACATCTGCATGGTAATGCTACTGCATGAACTAAAGGACCAAGGACTGTTTATCACAATAGTGATACCTATATAAAACTCTATTCATTTTTGTTATGAAATAATACAGTTTATGACAAAATTCAAGAGAGTTATAAAAAAGAAAACATAAATCATAAATAATTTGATGACATCGCAATTACAGACTTTCATGTTTCCAAAATTCCAAAATCAAGTATTAGGGTATCATAAGCAGCACTCTGGCCTGTAGCCAGACAATTTTGATGTGTATGTAGACAGTCCTGAGTCAGGGAACAGAAGCCCTTGGCTTCAAGTGTCAAGGAACATATTCCCATTGTCGGTTTTGTGCGGAGAAGCCCCTCTATAGGTGGAAAGAAATCATGATAACTTGGCAAGAAAATTGCTTTATTTTGTGACAATGTGTATACAGCTACACATTGGTGTAAAGGCAGCTATGCGCCTAGCATTTAGGACTAACATATATCATTATAGGTAAAGAAAGATCGAAAGTTTGATCTGCATCTGTCATATATACATAGCAAATCTAAAATTAGTCTCTTAGCCTAACTGGATGACATCACACAGCCTGCACTACAGTAACAACATATTCTTACCTATGAGGAAAACCGATCCAACAGCAAGCCCTCCACCTGAATTAGAACAAAATTTCCATAAAGTGTATAAAAATCAGTAATAAATACATAATAAGTTATTTGCTTTTCTAGTTATGTTTCCCTTCAGATGTTTCTTTTATATCTAAAAGTTGGAAGGACATGTCTGCTGGGAAAATAACTTTAAATTTTTTATAAGGTTTTCCCATCTACATTGACATGTTTATAACTGCACATACCATTGAATTGACCTCCTTGATAAACAGTTGGTGACATACATTTGATGTAGGATATGACATTTGCTCAGCTTTTGCACAATATATAAATTACATTACACAGCAGCAACATATATATATGCAATAGATGGGATACCAGACTTAATTTTAGCATTACAGTGTCAAATAAATATGCATTCTCCAAGATCTTTACATTTATGAACTTGTATCCAAACCCTGGTATGCCAAGCTGAAAGTGAAACAACTGACAAGTGGAGATTTTTTTTGTTTTGTTTTTACTATTCAACTGAACGTGACAAGATTAAATCTTGTTATTCTGTTTTTGTTATCAATAAAATGTGATCATAGTGTAATAGGAATGAGTAATAAAAAACATCCCGCCACCACTGGGGTTCCAACTAGCGACCCTTCAGTCTCTAGCTGGATACTCTACCGCACGACTAAAGGGCAATTCCAACTAACCGAGGTTAGTAAGGTGATTTGTACTCTCAACTTCTACACTACTCCTTCCTTCACAAAGTCTTCAACCCCAAAGAAAACAACAACCCAGGTTCAATATCTCCAAGGATGCGTCTCAATCTCCTTTTGCTTCTACCCTTGGAGTGGTCAATGGCACCAAATCTGTGATAGGATAAAGTAGTGAAAAACACTTTTCCACCACTGGGGTTCCAACAAGTGACCCTTCTGTCTCTAGCCAGACACTCTACCACTTGACTAAAGGGCGATTTCCACCAGCCAATGCTAGTAATGCGACCTGTACTCTCAACTTCTACAATAGTGATAACCAAATTGAAAATTTGACACTAACTTCATCGAATTGAATACTTAAAGTCCAAGAGGACCAGTACTCCTGATCACATCATCTTTAATAAAGAACATATTTCTGAAGAGTGACCCGGTGGGAATCGAACCCGGGCCAAGGGCATGATAATCCAACTGTGCGCTCTGTCAGTGGACTAACAGCTGCCGTAATTAACACTGTGTACAAGTTAAGCATACCAATCTGCTCCTTTCACATTCATAGAGGAAAAAATACCTCAGCACTTTAAACACATGTTGAAAAATAATCGTACATGCATACATGTATGTAGTCGTATTGGAGGAATCCAGGTCCAGACCTGGGCTTTTGAAATCAAAACGTACATATTGATATTCACAGACAGATAATATTTCGAAAATATGCCATTGTGTTTATTCACAATATGATAAACCATGATATACACCACGCTTTGTTATTAAATTATACTACAACATCACACAACACAAAACAATGACATTCTCATCTTCTGCATATACTTGTATGTTCATTCAGTACCGGAACCCATTTGTTATCGTTAAAACGTCAACTGATCGGGCAACATTACATGATTTACCTATAATGCTATCTAATGATGGGACTCCGCTTGACACAAGCAACTGATTATTGTATAACGAAGGCTTAGACCCAGGAATTTGTAAAACTTTCGCACGTGTCTTCCTCTGAAAGCTGGTTGCCGCCATATTTGTTTACATTCGCGTAGTCGGTAAGAATCGATAAACACACCTATAATAATATAATCTCACTAACAGCAACTAAATATGTCTAAATGGAAATATTCATATGTATAAAGCATTATTATTAAATAAGTTGTACACATAGCATATGGTCACTTCATGGGACGTTTCATTTGTTGATTGTTAACACATTATATTTATCGGTTAGTTTATAGAAGAACTCTTCAACAAGGAGTTAAATAATACAGTGTGATGAAAGTGACAGCACGCGCTAAATATGGAAGACGTTGTTTACGTCTGATTGATCGTCAGAATTGAACATTTTCACTCTCTGTATGTAAATAGTACCCCATATTTCGATCATTTTCGTAAAAATATCGCTTATAACGATCAGTGGAATTCTACATCTTCCTGGAGTTCTTTCGCGATACTGTACGAATGAACGACTAGCAGCAGACTACCTTTCATTGAAGCAGACGACAACTGAACAACATTAACGCACACACTACACACTTTGGCAATTGACCAACGATTTTCACAGAAAGTATGAATGTTGGTCATTTTATAACATGAATTTAAGGAATGCTAGATGTTCATGTTTCATAGTCACATTGTTAGGACAAGGAGAACTATTCTGTACAGGGGTGGATAGTTTTGAATTTTAGTCTGTCAACTTTGGATCTGCTGTTCCGATCTCGAACTGAACCAAACTAAACTGGTTTAGACAGTGGGCCTCCTACTTCTTAATCGTTAATATTACTATTCAGCTGCATTTTTGATGGAATCTTAAAATCATAATCTTATTTTCTAAAAAGAAATGTCAATTTAAATTTCAGATGGACATCAAAGTTTTTATGCAATGCAAAAAACCAAGAAGGTCTGGAAGATTGGAAGGAAAAGAACGTGCAGAGACAAAATCCAAAGAATTACTCCAAAATCCTTTAGGATATTTTGACATGCTTCCAATTGAATTGAAGTTTCACATTCTTCACTTCCTAAATGGTATCTAGAATTTCAGTTCTTGGGTATTCACTTGAATGATACATGGCATAAGCCACATGTAATAAAACTTCAAAATAATACATAAGCTAAGAATGATCATATTCCAATATGTTTCTTGTCATTGCATTCTCTTTTTTATTCAGTTGAGGAACTAAGTGTGCTGACCATTACATCTAAATCCATGAGAAATTTGATTGAAGGTTATCGTGTACTGACACCAGTTATGCAAGAGATATTGGCAAAAATACATGTGCAAAACGCATGTCTGTCAGTCCAAGTGGAGAAACAATCTGATGTCATCAGGACATTCCAGCAAATGGGTATCTGTGACTTCTATACATAATCATGCATATAAATCCCATAGGTAGTAGCATTTCCAGATAATCTGAAACTTCAAAATGAAATCTTTACAATTGCATGTTTTTTTTTGCAGTTTACAATAGTAGATTTTCTGAATAAATGTGAAGACCTAATCAGCTCACTTCTACCTTGTGAAATAAGATTTAAATGTCATTTTGGTTGTGATGTCACAGGGGATTTGTCATTTTACAATAAAAATAAACGAGAAGGTATCTAGAAAAGAAATAATGTTGATGAAGTCAGACATACTCATTGATCTTAGTCTCCCTCCATTGGTTAAGTCTAAATGATTATGATTCTTGTTTCTAAATTAGCAATTTGTTGCAGGACTTCTTATGAAAAGATCTACATGTTTATATTCTACAAGAGATCGTCTTAAATTTGTAAATGAAGTTCTCACTAAGGTAAGGCTGTGCTGGCAAACTTTTTAAGTTTTCTAATGATTTCTATTTATTTTATCAATATCTCTAAACTTTGGTAAACTGAATAAAAATGTTTTAAAAAAAAAATCAGCCTCAGAAATGAAGGATTGTTGGGCAAAATAATTTAGAAATGATGCATTGAAATGAAAAATCATTGGAATGTTGATTGTGAATTTATAATTTTTACTCTATTTTTCAGGAGTGAAATGTACTCCACCTTTTTCATCTAATTTGGAAAAAAATAATTGTTAAAAGCATGTTAAAAATGTTTCTTCTGCATCATTTTTGTTTTCTTATCTGATGACAGATAATGTGTTCCAACACTGACAAGTGTGAAAACTTGGCGAGGTGCATTGCACTGAGCTGCTTTGGCAAGTTTCTTCATACAGTGATAGCAGGATGGGATGATTCTGAGTGTTTGAGGGTGTTTGAAGCCGTATGTCACCATACAGCAATTTTGAAAAATGTAAAAATTGTTGTCAATGCAAAACCAGGTTAGTAACTATCGTGAAAAATAACCGTTTTTCTATACTCAAATATAAAGATGTTTCATAGAACAGCTATTCTGACACTTTCGATGTTTGGAAAAAAATTGGATATTTCTAATAAGTTCTGCTGAAAACATAATATAATTTTAATAAAATACAGCCAGTTATAGATAGTATGACTCTAATGGGTGGAAAACAATTTATTTCCATAGACTTTTAAATAACATGGTGTTTCTTCGTTTTCTTCCTTTTATGATAGGAAAACATAAACAGATGGAGTATCAGATCAGAGCCTTCTTCAGGCGAGTGTTTGTAGACCACTGTCACACGGTTCAAGATCGAGCATTTTGGTTAAGTCGGATTCTGAAGCAGTGGCCAATGGTACACCAGGCTAGGCTTTTGTATGTTCTCTATGGACCAGCTGTTGAAGGTTAGGATTAATAAACATAAATGATACAGTCTCTAAGACACCAACATGTTTGAATCCAGAATTTAATGCATGATTTTCTGGAATAGTTCCTCTGTTTACCGAATAATAGGACAGAGAAATGCAGTTTTATAGTTGTGCATTTCGGTTTGGCTTTTTATACGTCTGTCAAAAATTTTGAAGGGATATATTATAGTATGGCATTGTCCATTTGCGTCTGTTGTAAACTTTTATTTGTCAGGAGATCTACTCCCACAGTTTTCAACCAATTTTCTTCAAACTTGGTAGGCTTCTTTACCATGACAAGTGTTTATGTTTTACTGAATGACAATTGCCCCTCGTTGTTTTCATAATGTTAATCTTATCCAGAGATCTCTCTCGGTTTTCAATTTTTTTTTCAAACTTGTAAAGTTCAATCATCATGACATGAAGTTTTGATTCCATGCTTTGAAAATTTTCATAAGAGCATATAGTCACCCTTTTGTCCATCATTCTGTCCATTTTTCAGTCTGTCCTTTTGTGTCTGAAGTATAACTTTGCCCACAGTTAAGCAAGGATCATACTACGGCAATGTGCATTGAAACTTGATGGATACATCAATCATACAAAAGCAAGATGCAGTGTAGCAGATTCAGGGTCCATGACCTCTCAGTTACAGAGTTATTATCTTTGTTTGCATCAAATCTACGATAATGAAACTTGGTGTATAGATTGGTCATACATAAAGAATGTGTAGTATACGATACTCAGGGCCTGCAACCCCTTAATTACAGAATTATTGCCTGTTGTAAAACTTTTGTGTCCAATAAAGTTATTTCGGGGAACATTCATCAGTTTCACTGATACCCTTCTTTGCACAGCAGTTTCATTCGATTGTATTTTGATGAGTAATTGCCCTTTTTTGTTTTCACAATGTCAATCTTGTCTGGATCTCTCTCGATTTTCAATCAATTTCTTTCAAACTTGGTAGGCTAAAATCACCAAGATATGAAGTGGTGTTATCCTACACAGCAGTTTGGTTCAACAATTTTTTGAAGGAGTTATTGCCTTTTGATTTTTTAGCATTTTAATTTTGTATGGAGATCTTCCTCATTTTTAGCCAATTTCTCTGAAACTTGGTAGGCATTGTACCCATTACACAAGGTAGGCATTGTACCAATTACACAAAAATTGAACTTTTCTTACCAGGATTGTGCTTTTTGCAATTTTGGATAGAGAAATAGTTATTGTCTTTTGATATTTTTTTTTTTTTTTACTCATATTGTGTTTTTAGCCCACCATCATCAGATGGTGGGGTATTCAAATTGCCCTGCATCCGTGGTCCGTGGTCCGTCGTCCGTCCGTAAACAATTCTTGTTACCGCTATTTCTGGAAAAGTACTAGATGGATCTTTCTCAAATTTCATATGCAGGTTTCCCTTGGTGCCTAGTTGTGCATTGTACCTTTTTTGGATTGATTCAAATTCAAGATGGCTGACAGGTGGTCATTTTGGATTTTGGAAGTAAAAGTTTGTTACCGCTATTTCTGAGAAAGTACTGGATGATTCTTTCTCAAATTTCATATGCAGTTTCCCCTTGGTCCCTAGTTGTGCATTGTACCTTTTGTTGACTGATTTGAATTCAAGATGGCCCACAGGTGGCCATCTTGGATTTTGGATGTAAAAGATTGTTACCGCTATTTCTTGGAAAGTATTGGATGGATCTTTCTCAAATTTTATATGCAGGTTTCCCTTGGTCCCTAGTTGTGCATTGTACCTTTTTTTGACTGATTCGAATTCAAGATGGCCGACAGGTGGCCATCTTGGATTTTGGATGTAGAAGGTAGTTACCGCTATTTCTTGGAAAGTACTAGATGGATCTTTCTCAAATTTCATATGCAGGTTCCCCTTGGTCCCTAGTTGTGCATTGTACCTTTTTTGGACTGATTCGAATTCAAGATGGCCGACAGGTGGCCATCTTGGATTTTGGATGTAGAAGGTTGTTACCGATATTTCTTGGAAAGTACTGGATGGATCTTTCTCAAATTTCATATGCAGGTTCCCCTTGGTCCCTAGTTGTGCATTGTACCTTTTTTTGACTGATTCGAATTCAAGATGGCCGACAGGTGGCCATCTTGGATTTTGGATGTAGAAGGTAGTTACCGCTATTTCTTGGAAAGTACTAGATGGATCTTTCTCAAATTTCATATGCAGGTTCCCCTTGGTCCCTAGTTGTGCATTGTACCTTTTCTGGATTGATTCGAATTCAAGATGGCCGACAGGTGGCCATCTTGGATTTTGGAAGTAAAAGTTTGTTACCGATATTTCTTGGAAAGTACTAGATGGATCTTTCTCAAATTTCATATGCAGTTTCGCCTTGGTCCCTAGTTGTGCATTTAACCTTTTTTGGACTGATTCGAATTCAAGATGGCCGACAGGTGGCCTTCTTGGATTTTGGATGTAGAAGGTTGTTACCGCTATTTCTTGGAAAGTACTGGATGGATCTTTCTCAAATTTCATATGCAGGTTCCCCTTGGTCCCTAGTTGTGCATTGTACCTTTTTTGACTGATTCGAATTCAAGATGGCCCACAGGTGGCCATCTTGGATTTTGGATGTAGAAGGTAGTTACCGCTATTTCTTGGAAAGTACTAGATGGATCTTTCTGAAATTTCATATGCAGTTTCCCCTTGGTCCCTAGTTGTGTATTGTACCTTTTTTGGATTGATTTGAATTCAAGATGGCCGTCAGGTGGCCATCTTGGATTTTGGAAGTAAAAGTTTGTTACCGATATTTCTTGGAAAGTACTAGGTGGATCTTTCTCAAATTTCATATGCAGGTTCCCCTTGGTCCCTAGTTGTGCATTGTACCTTTTTTGGATTGATTCGAATTCAAGATGGCCAACAGGTGGCCATCTTGGATTTTGGACGTACAAGTTTGTTAACGCTATTTCTTGGAAAGTACTGGATGGATCTTTCTCAAATTTCATAGATATTGGTTTCCCTTGGTCCCTAGTTGTGCATTGTACCTTTTTTGGACTGATTTGAAATCAAGGTGGCCCACAGGCAGCCATCTTGGATGTTGACAGTAATACAGCACAAGCATATTGTCCATTATCCACCTGTAACTGACTGCTATCTAATAATACTTTGGGATCTTTTTCAAATGATATTTGCTAATAGGTGCTTAATAAAAATATCTTGTGCCATCATTGAGTACATTCAATGAAGACCAGTTCATGAACATTTACAACACCTGTAACAAACAAAAAAAATAAACAAATCTTCAAGAACTGAAAACAGATCCTCAAATGGTGGGCGCCAAGATCCCTCTGGGATCTCTTGTCTTGAATTGCATGCTGTTATCCAACAATATTCTGTGTGTGTTATTTTCAATACAAGAAGTCTGAATATTTCTTTGGCATGGGATGGGCATATATTGTTTCACCAATTGGTACTCTTCTCTTTCTCACAATTTCTAAAGATGTGTTTGTTACACTATTATGTCAGCTTCCTGATTTAAAGCCATACTTAAAATCAGTTGAATTATAATTTTTGAGTTTTTTTTGCATTTAAGTACAAACTGAATCCAATAAATGTATGTTCACTAATATCTTTGCAGGAGAAGTGTTATGGTATGATGTCTGTGAGAGTTCCCCATATAACTCGGAACAGTCTGCAGCACATTTCAATGAACTCGCTAATGCTCTACAGGTTCTCCACTGTTACCCACAGGAATGGTCTGAAGATGATGTTATCAGTGTCCTTGATGAACTTACAAGTAAGATTTTTTCGGGAGACAGAAATGCAGGCTCCATCGGGAAAATAGCTTAATGTTTCATTTTATTGTGATACTTCCTTCATTGTGCTAACTTGTCACTAATATAAACCCTGTAAATCTTGATACAGTTCAAATTGAAAAAATGAGCAAGTAGCATCAACTGTCATTGGTAGTTCACAAGTTTTTATCTTTGCTCCCTGCTACAGAGTTTGATTACCCAATATCTTTTACTAAGGAAGCTTAATATATTCAGCTTAAATATAACCACTATAATTGGCTTATAGAACATGATTAATTATGCAGAGTATAGTCATCTGTTTTAAAGAAATAGTACAGGTTAAAAAAATGTGTTGTTCCTGTTTGAACAAATTAGCTATAGGATAGGTAGGGTAATGCATGTTATACCTTCTAAATAATGGTTTCAGCAATAAAACAGTAATACGAATGAAATTCATGTTTGCAAGATATTTCTTAGAAATTAATTTAGTTAAACTCTATTTTACATCAGTGATAAAGTACAGGTTTATACTAAAATTCATCATAAACTTGCGACTGTTGTAACTATAGGTCTCCCAGATGAGTGGCTTGCTGAGAACATTGCTCACCTGCTGATCTTGTGTGGAGATAACATCACCTCTAGATTACTAGTCAGTAAAGCAATCAATGGTAGGATACGGGAGCTTGCCAGCATCACTACTTCATTCTGTGTTGTAAGTTTTGTAATATGTAAGCATAGTTGCAGATCTTTTTTTTTTATTTGGAGGGGGACGGGGATGGGGGTTGTTTACTTTTTTCTTTTGGTTACACATTTTTTGAAATCGCCTTTTCATCCATCAATCTGTTATGTGTCCGCCTGCCTGTAAACAATTTTTGTTATTGCTATTTATTGCTATTTCTTGAGAAGTACTGGATGGATCTTTCTCAAATTTCATAGGTAGGTTTCCCTTGATTCCTAGTTGTGCCTGTTTGATTATGGGATGAATCAGAAGGACAAAGTGGCTGACAGGTGGCCATCTTGGATTTTTTCAATGACGTTTGTTATCACTGTATCTCGAAAAGTGCATGATGGATCTCTCTCAAATTTCATATGTAGGTTTCCCTTTGTGCCTAGTTGTGCCTATTTGATTTTGGGTTTGATCAGAACTGTAAAATGGCTGACAGGTGGCCATCTTGGAATTTGACTTTGAAAGTTTGTTATCACTATTTCTTGAGAACTACAGCATAGCTCTCTCAGATTCCATGTATAGGTTCCCCTTGGTGTCTAGTTATACCTGTTTGGTTTTGGAACTGATCAAAAAAAGAAAATGGCCAACAAGCAGTCATCTTGGATTTTGCCTTGTAAAGATTGTTATCCCTATTTGTTAAGAAGTACTGCATGGATCTCTCTCAAATTTCATACGTAGGTCTCTAGTTTGGCCCATTTGATTTTGGGACTGATCAGAAAAGATAGTGGCTCCCAGGCGACCCACCTTGGATTTGGCTGTTACAGATTATCATTCTGCAAAGGAATGTTCAAATTTCTTATCATTAAGAAAACTAACAGAAAAGAGAAGAGGAAAAAAAAAGGGAAAAGATCCAACTTTCAAAGAGCAAATAAAGATCAAACAACGATGGGCACCAAGATCCCTCTGGGATCTTTTGTTTCACTGAGTTAAGGGGAAAATGTTTGGGCCCCCCTCCCCCAATGCAACACCCAATAAATATTGAGGATTTTCTTAACTCCTTCCCTACTCCTACTCCCAAACACTTCAATAAGCAAATATATAATTGTTCTGAAGTATATTTGTGTAATAATAATACAGTCACATATTGCTGCTATGAAATCTGTCAGACTTTTGACATTAATTTCTGTCACTAATAGAGGTAAAGAAACATATAAAAATGTTGGGGAAAATAGAGAGAAGATGAAAGACAAACTGATTTTTATTCTCTCTGTAGGTGTGTGTGAAGAGCAGTTTCAGTCTTACATATGTGATGACAATAGTACAGAACATTGTGGACACATTGGACAATCCAAAAGACCGACATAGTTACTTCAACAATGTTATGGAAATGTTTAAAGAACTTATTTTAGATACACATGAATTCTCAGATCCAGGTACATATTTTTTCTTTAAGAAATAACATACCCGGTATTTTCTTACCATTTTAGTAAACATTCATAATACTGAATATGAATTCCTCTTAATTTTAGTACTGTAAAGTTGTTATTTCTTTATCATGCATGCACCTAAATTTTTTAACTTTCTTGATATTTCCGCCATTTCCTTAAATATACAAATTGTCTATTTTTTCAATTGGGATTTGGCCAATATGACATGACAGATATATATTTTCAGATGACACGCATGAAAACGAGATGTTCTTTCTGGTAACAGCGATGTCAGAATTCACAAAGAAGATCATCCATGTAGCGTATAAACCACTTCTGTCCTAGTACAGCATGTATAAAAAAAATGGACTTTTTACTTGATTAATGCTTCAAGCTGTGATTTACAATATTTGTTAGTCCACAAAATCAAGTGTAGCAAACCTCATTAGCTTCATTGCACATAAAAGTATATTTCAGATCTTTAATACTATCTTAAATACCACAAATGTCACTCTCATTAGTTTAAGATACATCAGAAATTATTTGAAATGTCAAGTAAATCCTGTCTTGCATAAAACTATTAAATTCGATCAAAGTTTTCATGTTAGATCAGTTTTACCGTGTCATATATTTGTGTTGTTTTTGAATAGATGATATCACCACAGATATTTGATTAGTTTACTTTACAAATTTTCATCTGTTTTTATTCTAATGGGCTAAGAACTAGGTCACCTATTGTCATCTTTCTTCATCGAAAACATTCCCCATCTTTCATCTAATAACAAAATTGACATTTCAAGAAACATATTTGAACAGGAATGGGTATACCCAGTTATGTAATTTAGTAATAATTGAAGTCTATGAACATTGAAAAATTGCAGTAGCCTTCTTTTTAATTTGAATCAAATTACCTTGTGCCTCTTTAAAGATCTAGACTGTCTAAGTTATTCAAGTATTTGGGCTCACCATAACTTTTAAGACTGGTGAGGTAATGTGACAATACTGCAGCCAGACTTGGTTACAATGTGTATACCTACTCATCACTTTATTTTGATATATCCATGTTTTTTGCCTCTTCTTTTTTATTTTGTTTCGTGTGTTGTGAAGCTAATGGTTTGATATATCTTGTCTTTGTGTTTGTTGTTTATCAGATTTATACAATTACAGCCGGTACTTGTAGGTATAATCTGTGATTCTAATGATTGTAAATTGGAAACCTTCTGCTGTGATTATTTTTTTAATATTTAACTTATTTCATATGATTATGACTGTTTGACAAAGTGTTATATACATATATGTTTGTTAGCGTGTGCATCAGATGGTGATGCTTGAATATTAAATACATATCTTTTTAGTCGACTTCATTATAAAGAAATCTTTAAAGAATTATGTGTTATGAATTGATAGAAAAATATCTCCAGGTTTATTTATATTTCACCGAGATTTATTGGTTGTAAAAGAGATTTTTTTTTCTTTTGAAATGATTAAAAAATTCTGTGAGGAAAAGAAACAAAAGGCTGGTTGCTTTACTGGTCATAATAATGCAAAGATAGAAAAAATACTACAAATTTCAAAATATTCAATATGCATTACTATGTATATTAGAAATACAATTCCAAAAATATCTGGTACTGAATGACAGAACTTCAGTAAGTAGAAAAATTGATGAAATTTTGATCAACAAATTTTGGTGTGTTTGAGTGTGTTCCTGGTGTATGTAAAACTTCCCATGAATAATGGATGGAATACAAGTTTGCAACCTTTGATTGTTGAAACAGTATTAAAAATCTTCAGAAAAAAAATATCTTCATTTGTTTTTTCTCAGTTTTTTTAAGGCTTGAAATGGAGTGATAGATGATTATTGTGATTTCCCATGAAAAACTTAGGTGTTTCTAAAATTTCATACTCTGGTTTAATAGTTTTCAGTATAACAGAAACTAAATAGGCCAACTGGCAGCCATCTTTCGATTGTTGAAGTTTGCATTATTTTTTCTAAAGAAATTTTCCCCTGATTACAGTACTTCTCAGTAGTTCCATTGTATTTTAAGAGGTACCCAATTTTATTATTTATGTCCCGGGATCGAAAAATCAGTGACATCGTTTTTGTGCTCTCTGTTTGATTGTTTGGTGTCAACTTTATCCTTACCAATAACTATTGTACTGTAAAATGCAAGGCTTTATTATTTGAGGTGTGTTAATTGTGAGAAGACCTTTCCGATGGTACCAAAGGTTTTGACCATGTGACCTTGGCCGTGACCTTTGACCTATATTTAAAAAAATAACATTGGCCTGAACTATTGAATTTAAACTGTCAAATAATTACCACAATGAAGACAAATGTTTCACAAATACCTTACAAATTTTTTGAAACAAATACCTTACAAATTTAAGTATAAAAATGCTTTACAAATTTAAGTTTTAATGTTCCTCTTCAGAATTTTGTTGCAAAGTGTTTCATAAACACGTCTTGTTTTTTATTTGTCTTAGTATACTCACAAAATAATTCTTAATAGATACTACTCAGATCAAGCTGTGTTTTAATATTATCTTTGCGTTAGTGGAACTGTTCTCAATAATGCTATGAATCTTGTAGATTTGCGGAATGATGCATTTAATGGTCATACTTATTTACTATAGATGTAATATATCTGTAGGAAAATTTGCAAAATGACCAGCTGGCAAATGTAATGAAATGAAACTAATTGCAAATTACCCCTCTGTGTTGTAACTTCACAATGCGCTTGTAAAACATTTCACTTTTCAGCTGATCCCCTCATGTTTCTTTTTCACTTATCAAAACCGAAAACTGAATTGTTATTATCCAAAATATCTTCGGTTATGTAAATATAAAATTAAGTATTTTCTTAATGTAATTATAGTCGATATAATTGTAATATTACCTTCTGACTGACAAAGCTTCCATGAACCCTTATGGAAATGTCTTAAATGCCGCTTGCAACCATACTGAGTGTATCTGCATTCATAAAAACACTTAATTGTTAAATACACAACAATGCATATACAGACAGAAATAGCTAAACGTCATTTTCGCGAATAAGTTATAATATCGATCCATGTGGTAATGCACAATTAGTACACCTTTATTTGGAATCAAACATCCCGGTCACCTATAAGGTCAGTTCAGGTTATTGCTATCGGCTGGTCGTTATGTATGTTATCGTGTTTTGGAGGTCATTCCGTAGATTCACTGGCGCCAGTCTCCGACGGACATCCTACGAGAATAGATAAAACGTCTATTCTTGCTTTCTGATGACACTGTCGATCTACATTTACTTAAAAAAAGACTTCCGAAAGATATATTACTAAAAAATTATAAAGGGTTTATCTCGATTTTCTATTTTTGTACGAGATTGTTTCCCAAACACGAAATTTAGGTGTGGTAGAGTTATGGGTTTCACGTCTTTTCACGCATTATTACAACCATGAATGAGATAGTTTGCGAATATTTTTTTTCATTTTATTTTTAGACAGATCCTGAAATTGAATTACCGACTTTTATGTCGTCATGGCTAATTGGTTTCAAACGTCATAAAAGTCATGTCATGAGTTAGGACGTCACAATTAAAACAATTAATGAGAACACACAACCAATCACAGCTCCACATGGTCGTATCAAACGGCGTCACAATTTACAACAATGAAATTACGTCACAATATCAGAAATATGGCGGCTCCTTTATTAGTCAGTAAATGTATATTGAAATATTAAAAACTGAGATTATTGGTTTTATTTGTACCATATTTTGTTACTACAAGTGTGGAATAATCCCTTAACTCCTTACATATGAAAAATGCATATCTATGTAGATATTATGTTTTACATTAATTATAATTTCTCCATACTGAGGAAATAAGAAAAAGAAAACTAACTGGAGTATAGGGGAAAAGTTTAGATAGGTAAATAATATTCTTACTTTGTCATCTCTCTCCTCTGGACATTGACGCAGCTATACCAGCAAATTAAAGAACAATAAACAATGTGATTTTTATGTAATTCAATAGACAATGAAATATCTTATGCAATCAAATTAACGATATTTTACTACAATTTTTGCTGTCTTCCTTGAAAGCTTAGCCGCTATATGTCCATATAAGTGAAATGTACAGCTAAATGATTTAATAAAGTCTAGTTTAAACCGAATGTCGTCATACAACCTTTGGCGTACATGTGATGTAGATTGTATAAAGAAAAAAAATAGATTTACGTCGATAATGTGCTATCAGAATTTTGACGTCATTTCCAATATGGGTCAGTTGTATATAAACCAGATATGACAGATTTGAAGTCATAGGAATTTTTACTTCAATCCGTTAGCGACAACTTTGGAAATTACATTACTGACATTGTGGCCAAGGTAAAATGACTTTCTATTCATTTTAATGATATCAATCACAATTTTCTGTTTTCTTCTCTTCTTTACAATGAACTGTGATTAGACACGAACAGTGGTGACAGATGGAAATAACACAGCTAAGGCGAAGAGTGCCTCTAAATAAAATATCACCATTTTAGAATAATCTCTTTGTTTGAACAGAAACAAGCTGGAACTCGCGGATTAAAAAAAATGTAATGTTAGTTTATTTACAGAACAGCATGACCGCAAATTAACATATTTGATATTAAGATATTACAGTTAAGATACTAGAAAAGAAACACATTTGATCAAGGACATTTGACAGGAAAATTAAAATATATACAACAAAAATTACGTGTTGTCAGTATTACACTAACATTTAAAAGACATGAATGTAGTGTTACATATTTTTGTTATATGTCTATACCCGTAAAGAACGAAAGTGATATCAAGTATTTTAGAATTCAAAACGCAAAGTCGACGTTTACAATTTATGCTTTTTGTTGAAAAGTTTATTTCCAAATATTTAGTATGTTTATTACTAAATTTCTGTTAAATATTAGGAATGAATTGGAAATTTATCCTGCTTTCTGATTGTTACCTATGACTTGTATTATTCAGGGTATGATGTATGATGGAATCATTCAATCTATTCAATGATTTTTAGTGCTATTATATTACATGTTTATATAAAACGATCGCGCGACGGGATTGGGGGGTGGGAGGAGGGGGGAATGGGGGGGGGGTCTATAGAGATGGGTATGAAATCTTACTCAAAAATCACTCTGTACATTGTTTTATTATCTCTAAGGTTATCAGAAAAAAATAATTTCGATGTATGACCCTCTCTACGTTTCGTACACATTCTACAAAGCTGTATAGATATCTTGCGTTTAGTTCACAATTTCTTACGCTGTCATTGTAACATGTGTTCATAGTCTCTCAACTGGCAATAAGATAAGGTAAATT